GGTGGGGGGGGGTAGCCCAGTGCGTCCTTTTTTTTTTTTTTCTTTTAGGGGCGACATTTTTGGCCAATGGTAGAGTTGGTTATGTGGCCAGTCGCCAGTGCTTGTAGGTAAAATTGGGGAGTTGAAAGAATCTAGGATAACCAGGTCATAGATCAAATGATGTACTTTTGAATAAAATTAGAACAAAGTGAGGAAGGGGGAAGGGATTTGAAATGAGGTACTTGGTTTTGGAAGTACAATAGGTTCATAGCTGTAGCCATTCCTCTGTGTGACATGGTAGACCCAGTATTAATAACATTGTCAGAGCTTCCTGGTCGGCCGACTGTATAATTATAAAAAGTTTCTTGTTTACTCCCAGAGATTGCGTTACAGAACACGTCATTGGCTTGATGAATGGAAGAGGGCGTCATGATATTTGTGCAAGTCGCGGAACGGTGCGCCTCTTCAAACCAGTCCTCGTTTGATTTCCATACAGTTGCATTACGCTGACGTATTTCTTTGGAAAATCTTTTATACACTACCGGCAGTCAGCCAAATGTTACTACTAATCCGTTTCCATATTATATTGATGGGATGGGAATTGCATTTTAAAAATATTAAATGGCTAATAATGAATAAGAGTGTACCTGAATTTGTAATGATATACATAAATAGGGGTCCACCCTTGTATAAATGTGTGGGATAACTATACCCCACTCGATCTTGATATATTTTTAATGCGACGATGCAGTGGGCTTCGGAGGACGAGATCCAAAAGGCCTGGATTATTCTTCAAGGTGTATAAGCTGGTTCCCAACAGCAAATCGCCTCTCTCCCCGCCGCTGGATAACCCAAGGGAACATCATTGGATGATACAGCTTGGCACCAGTGACGTCGCAGGAGTTGTTGCAATGTTTCATTGTATCCATGTTATCCGCCTTTCGGACTCCATCTCCGGATTTTGATTTCAGAGTTTCCTTCTCTTAGATGAATTGCCATCCAAGGCTAACGAGTCTGGTGGTGGTATTTTTGCTTGACTGGGCTCTGGCTGGAATTGAACGCCAGGCCACCAACTTGAGACTTGCTCAGTTTAGACCACTCAGCCACCCAGTATTACATTTAATATTACAATTACATATATTAAATTGAGGCATTCATTTAAACCAGAGGTACTCAAAATTTTTAAACATGGGGCCTGCTCACTGTTCCGCTGACACTGACTGGGGCCGGACTACAGCTTGTAAAAAAAAAATGAAATAATACCTATGAACACTGCACATATCTAATATGTAGTAAGAACAAATACAACAAAGGCGAAAATCAGAAAATATGTTTTAGACAAAGAAAAATTTCAATCCACAGAAACATATTAGTATTTAAATGGAAAGTATGGACCTAGCTTTTGGCTGATAAGTTGGTCGATTTACGGTTCCATAATTGCCAGAGCAACACGGAAACGCGTACGGCAGCATGGTGTGCCGGGTTAAGGGCCCATGGTGGGCCGGATCGGGTCCACGGATCGTAGTTTCATGTCGCTAGATTTTAAAAAAAAAATTTTTTATTCCCCTTGCAAGGTATCTCCGACATGACCGCTGTCCAAATAGCGACATATGAAACAAAAATATGGTAAATCTGACCGCTGTCCAGGAAGTGCCGTTTGATAAATCTGACTTGGCGTATTGAAATAATATCTGTAAACGTGGAACCACCTTACCGAAAAGGCTGCGTGACGATTGGTCGACAACGACCAATCAGAGACGAGGTGTCAGGCGTTTGTGACAAGCAGACAATATATAAATAACTGTTTGGGAGACTGTGTGCGAGTTTTGGGTTTGTCATGCTATCTCTAGGTACAAATTTTTATTCACTTTGTTTTATTCAAGCTTTACAAGTAAGACATAGAAAAAAAACAATATTGTTTTAATATTTTGATGTCGTTATTAATGCCATATTTTCAAATTATCTATTTTGTCAGGCATAGTGTTGTAATCAAATTTTACCTAAAATTCTATATTTTTGAAATTATAGTAAGATATATTAATAGGTCAAGTCTAATTAATTTGATTCCAATGTCTGATAACATCATGAACGTACTTCTAAAAATAGATATTTTTTTTCCCATTTAGAAACAATTTTTTGACATCAAGATGGCCGCCACTCGTAGCTTTTTATTGATGTTCTTGTGTATAGCAAGTAAGGAAACTCGCATCATTTGTAATAATCGTTAATTATCGAATTCTTTATTGGTACGATTTTAATTGTATAGATGCCGAATTCCGATAATCGCCTGATGAATCAAGCTTTTCGTGACGTAAACAAAGTATCTGAATACGTCATTTTTTTTTTATTATAAGGATACCACCATGGCCTGTGCCAATAACGAGAATGTATTCATATCCCAAATGGCAACATAGATGATGTATGGGGTACAACAACTATTTATTTTCGGAATTCCTTATATACGTGGATTGGATGACGATAGCGTAATTATTATTGTAGCGGAAATAAATTATTCAGATTTTTTAAAAATTAATTTTAGAGAAAATATTTAGTAAGTTCTGTTTAAATTAGCCCTGCTCTTCCTGTTGGAATCGGAGTTAATAGAACACAAACATATAGACATATATGACGTTGGAGCGATCCCAAATTTGAAAAAGAATAATCCAGGGGTGATTAATCTGTTTTACAACAACAACAAAAATAGACTTACCCATAGTAGAGACACATTTAGCTATAAATCGCTGTGTGGGCGATATCCAAGAGTAACCCAAAAATTAAAAAAAATTAAGATCGAGCTATCAACCAACTAATTTATCTTCAATATATGGATCACCAAATTTGAAAAAAAGAAAATTTAAAAATAAAAATTTATAAAGCAAAATAAAAACTTAAACTTCTTAAATCAAAAACTAACTTTGCTGGTTATTACCCCACCTTTGATTTTTCTCTCTCTCTCTGTGTTTTTAAAATGTCGTTAAATATGTTTGAAATGAAACAGGACTATTTTATTTTTCAATTTAAAATGCTCTGCTTCTGAGAGTTGCCATTGACTCTAAAATTAACTGTAGATCTAAAGTTTTAAAAAAATTAATAATAATAATCTTCCTGTAATTTCAATACATTTGAATCTCCTTTTATTAGCTAAAATATTATATATTTTGTTCTTCTATATTTTTGGCTTCTGATAGAATACGCAAGCCACCAATAAGAATACGTGTTCGCTTGCGTGGGTTAAACAAATTAAAAGTTGCGAATATATATTAGAATGAGCTAGAGTGACATAACGCCAAAGAGCCTATACGATTAAAGTATGTTTGGATTCCTAAAAACAATCATATTTTATTTTAACGAAATCGAATAAATTTAATGCGCAAAAAAATTTTTAAATCCGCTTTAATTTTATTTAAAGTTAACGTTATATTATTATAAATTACAAATACATTTAAAGTATCAACTAAGGAAATATTTTAAGCATTTATATGTGTTTGAAAGTTATGAAAAAATTTATAACAAATTTTAAAATCATGATCAAAGAATTCCACCGTAATTACATTTATCGGGAAAACCCAAGCATCAGTCAAGGCATATTGTTCAAGGCAGCACAAATTACGTCTAATGATAAAGGAATGATTTTGAAAAATAATTAACCTTCGGAGGTAGGAAATAGATGTGTACATTTTTACGTGGATGACAATATATTTAAATCCTATGGTGTTACATTTTTGGAAAAAGAGATGTTACATTCTCTTTTTACAATAGTGGTATGTTCAATTTGCCCAAGGCAATACAAAATACGTACCAAAATAAAGGAAATAATTTGATTAATAATTAACCTTCTTGTGTACATACATATCGGAGATAGGAAAAAGGATGTGTACATTTTTACGTGGATGACAATATATATTAAAATCCTATGTTGTTACATTTGTGAAAAAAGAGATGTTAAATTCTCTTTTTATAAATAAACATGTGTTTACCAATTAAGAAAATCAATTGCGTGAACAAATCTTTGGTACATTTATACAAGTATATCTATGAATCTCAAAAGCCAATCATTTTACACACTTAAAAATTAAATTTTGACAAATGAAGATGGGTTAATATTTTCTTCTTTTTTTTTAATGAAAATATATTTTTGTTGTTACTTTGCAAAAAGTAAAGAGGTGTGTATTGTTCTGGGATTAACAATTTAATTTTTCAAAAAGACAGTGAAATCTGATATAGGCGTGAAAAACAGTTGCGAGATTCTTCTTTGATAAAAGAATTCTTTGTTTTACGATTTTCTGATAATGTATAATTTTAAGAAAAGGCAAAAATGTGTTTAAATTTTTTATGAAGATATTAATATATATTGAATTGCTGTAGTACAAAATATATTTATATCATGTATAGAGTTTTTGATGTAAATTTAAGATTAGGTTTTTAAAAAATTTTGAGAGACAAGGGCACGAAAAGGGGTAAATCTAAAGTATTTCTATAGTATAGTAATTGTCCCTCAATTTACTTCCTTAGTGTCAAAAGTGATGTAAGTAGTGGTAATTTATACTGGGTTATTTAAGGTCGTGTTTAGAAGGGAAAAAAGTAGTTTAGGAGCGTGAAAGGGAGTAAGGTAGGCGTATAATATATAGCAGATAAATACTTCTCCAAATTTAATGATGTTAGAAACGTAAATATCATTAAATTTTAAAAGTTATGAATCGGGATGAGTTTTTGCAATAGCAGTTAGACATTATCGCAAAGGACCTACCATTATTATCCCGATAAAATCGGGTCATTTATTCTAGTAGAATAGAATACAATAGAATAAAATATACTTAAAAAACATTAACACATAAAACAATGATTTTAACTAGCATATCAATTTGTGTTCTTTCAGGCAGTGATTTTGGTGTTATTTCAGTGGATGCAGCAAGTACGTACACTTTTCTATGTTTGAAATATAACTTTGTATTTAAATGTTTATTAATATACTCCTTTTAAAATACAATTATAACTAAATGCAATTAACAATTTGAATTTAGTTTTCACTTTTATTCAAGGTAAAAAAAAAAAAAGACTATTTAATTTTTTTTTAATTAAAACCAGATTTATAATTACATTCACTGTATTGTTTCAGCTGCCTCTTTGATCGGAAATTTTACTGTAAATGGCCTAACCACCCCGGTGACAGTCAACCTTGGTGACATGGTTGCTTTCGTCTGCTCGAAACTTGATACAGTGGATAATCCAAAGTGGGCTCTACAGGCAACAACTTCAGGTGAGGGGCTCAAGAACATCCGGGTGTCTTCAACAAAAGTATTGTTGTCAAGAGCATCTGGGTGTCTTTAAGTAATGTTTTGTTTATCTAACTCAAGTAGATCTGCATTTCACTAAAATAAGATTTTTATATAAGTCAGTAAAATAGATCTGAATATCTGAAATTAAAGTCAGTAAAGTAGATCTGAATGTCTGGAACTAAAGTCAGTAAAGTAGATCTGAATGTCTGGAACTAAAGTCAGTAAAGTAGATCTGAATGTCTGGAACTAAAGTCAGTAAATTAACACTTGCATTAAAAAAACAAGCCTTTGATGGTGTCAAAAATAAAGTGTGGGGTGGGGATCACGGGGTCGCTAAAACTTGATGAAAAAAAGAAATCCAAAACTATATTAAATTAAAAAGATTTGATTTTTATCGTTGTGTAATTGTTGTTATCTACTGATGAATAATTTTTTTTTAAAAATCAATGTTAAGGTTAGTTAAGATGTTGGTCAGTTGCGACTTGTTGCTTCACCATCCACTGCTTATCCCTAGTAATGGATAACTAGCTAATCATATGTATGTTAAGCAAAAGTTGGATATCAACGCCTGTAGAAAAAACATTAACACTTAAAGAATTTTTGCATTCTTCAAAGTTCTCTGATTTAGCTTCTAATCCATTTACAAGAAAGCGTTTCGAAAAACAAGGGGCTCCTTGTGAATTTCAAAACAAGAACAACAACAATCAGAATGGTTACACCGGTATCTATATATGCATATGTCTTACTATGGTCAGTTTAGGAATTTTCAAAAAAAAGCTCCATCAAATAAAGGTAGTTTGACACATGGACATATTGGGATAATCAAGTTACTGTAGCACAGACTTTTAGCTCATATGAGGTGACTTCACCCTTTTTAAAAAAATTGTTTAATGCTTTAAATGGTGTCTAAAAGTTTGAGTAACAATTTCTCTCATGTCGTTAAATATGTCTGTGATTAGACTACTGAAAATTCGGTTTATAATCTTAAAATTGATTTCATGTCCAAAAATGTGCCAACATTAAAAGCCGTTTTTTCCCCTCAATATGTCGGGGCAAAGGTAACTTTGTTTTTAGATTCCAGATGAATGTGGTCGTTACTTGAAAACGCTTGAGAACCTGTGCACTAGAGCTACCGATGTTAATAACTAAGTTAAGTAAATATAACAGGCCCTGCCTTAAGGCGGCAGTATGTGGCAATCGGTGTTAATCTGTGACTTGATGAAATGTAAAATAAAAAAAAATGGTTAAAAAAAACAAGGAAACTATAACTAAAATCAAGGAAAGTGTGTCTCCGGTATAGGAGCAAGTCACGGGTGTACTGTTTTTTGTTTTTTTTTTCTTTTTTAATACTAAAAATCGAGTGGGATCCCTGGTGGGAAATCCTATGCGCTTCTGAATTGTTAAGACAGAGTTCCACTTCCACTCTGCTGGGTCAAGGGAGATGGGATATGCAAGTGCGTGAACTCCTTCGCTTAAAATTACGTCCTAACTGATGGATTATGTGATGGTGTTGGGTGGGTGGGGAGGGGAGAGGAAAGGGCTTAGGACGGAGCCATTCTGAAATTAGACTCTGATCCAAGGGCGGCAAGCCATCGGGGGTATAAAGCATCACTGACGCCAATTTTCTATTTTTCAGATTTATTTCCGGGTCAAGGGCTAAGTCACTATTTATCCCGGATGATGCTAGTATTTTTAAATATACATATATTTATTATTTTGTGGATAGTTTACAGAATACATTTTCATTGCAAAAAAGTGGAAAATAAATAAATAGTATATATTATATATAACTCATTTTAGAAAAGACGCTCTTCTAAGGTGACTTTTCACAAATTTAAAGAAAGAAAATAATTTACTTTTAACATTTATTTAAATCCACCATTAACTAATTTTTTTTTAAAGTGTCTATACATTATACATCTGCACAAGACTCAGCTAGACCAAGGCGTCTCTAAAATTCATCTGGACAAGCTAGTCAATGCATCCGATGAAGAAGCGTATCTCGAGCTGAACGCATGCACATTATCGTAAAGACGCTTAAGTCGTTGATGGTTTTCTCATATCCATTTAGGTACATACATCTTAGGAGGCCCGAGTTTTTCCGTTACAGCAAGAAGTATCAGTGACACAGTCGCCGCCACCTGTGCCATGAACGATGTCATCGCCTGTATCGCCACCGACTCGGCGGGCAACACGGATACGAAAACTGTGCAGGTCAAAGTTCAATGTGAGTATCGGAATGTACACAAAAAATTAATTAAAATAATAATAACAATTTCGAAAGGCGTTCATGGAATGGGTTTCGTTCATTTCTGGTAAGTGGGTGGGTGGGATCTTTGACATCATTCATTGCTGGAAGGTGGGTTCTTTGACAACGTTAGCTGTCAAACACATCTTCATTAACGGACATCATGAGTGAAGGGTATTTCATGAACTGACTCCATGAGTTAAGGGTATCTTCATGAACTGACTCCATGAGTTAAGGGTATCTTCATGAACTGACTCCATGAGTTAAGGGTATTTCATGAACTGACTCCATGAGTTAAGGGTATCTTCATGAACTGACTCCATGAGTTAAGGGTATTTCATGAACTGACTCCATGAGTTAAGGGTATCTTCATGAACTGACTCCATGAGTTAAGGGTATCTTCATGAACTGACTCCATGAGCTAAGGGTATCTTCATGAACTGACTCCATGAGTTAAGGGTATCTTCATGAACTGATTTCATGAGTTAAGGGTATCTTCATGAACTGACTCCATGAGTTAAGGGTATCTTCATGAACTGACTTCATGATTTAATTAACCAAGGTCTTTAAGTGAAGGAGAGATTCATTTACTGCTATCGCATCTTATTCAACAAACGAGAAGTTTGTTAACGTCAAAGTTAAGACGTCAATATTCAATGTAGCTTAATATGAAAGACGTCACTATTCAATCTAGCTAAATAAGACGTCGCTATGCAATCTAACTTAACTTGGAAGACGTCGCTATGCAAACTAACTTAACGTGGGAGAAGTCGCTATGCAATTTAGCTAAACGTTCAACAATTATTTGTTTAAAAATTCGATTTATCTAATGTGACTTTTTTTATTGCGCAAGGCGTCCGCTTATAATACAACAGAGAAAGGTGTTTAAACTAGTTAGTACTGTGTCTTTGATGCACCGTTCTTATTGTGTTGTTATACATCTCCATAGCTGCTAGCTGCACCGGTTCCGGAACTGGAGCCTCAAGCGCCACCCCGGGAGCCTCAAACGCCACCCCAGGAAACGGTGTAGAGGTGCAGGCACGTCTCTCCGTCATCTGGTTGGTCGTCACATGGATCTCCAGCCTACAGATGCTCTTGATGTGATTTTTTTTTATGTTGCAACACAACATGCAGTTATTAGTGCTATAAACCTTATCTTTAATATATATATTTAATATACATACAGATATTTTTTTACAATGAATCCTTGTATTTTCAATATTCCATAAATTGATTGTTACATGTCTTTCTTATCCAATCTATCACGCTAGTTGAACAATGACTTAACACAGTGGTTCTCAACCTTACTAATGCCGCAACCCTTTAATACACTTTCTCAGATTGTGGCGACCCCCAGCCACAAATTTATTTTTGGTGCTACTTGATAACTGTAGAGTTTATGTGATTTCCCATGGTCTTAGGCGACCTAGGAAAGGGTCGTTCGACCCCCCAAAGGGTTCGCGACCCACAGGTTGAGAACCGCTGACTTAACACAACTCACCGGCAATGACGTTCGAACTCCGGACGAAATTATTAAGGGAGAGAAATAGGCTTATTGATTATAATCCTGCAGTGGAGTGAGCTTCCCATGGAGTGATCTTCCCAATCGGTCTTGACCAGATGGAGCAAGCTTCCCATTCACGAGGCACTGGGCGTCTCCAGGATGGCACACTATGTCACGGTCATACTCAAATGTATCGATTGTATTTAGAAACACAATGTTCATCAGCAGACCGATCACGGGAGCTAAAAATCTCTACCGGCTACGTCCGGTAACTCACATCCTACACGTGACATGATTCGTTGCCAGCGTGGCGCGTGACGTGCTATTCGCCGAGGAAAATCCGTGCCCATATCACACATGACAGCATTAGCGTATTTCACAGAGTGATTTTGTTTAAAAATCTATCTGCTCCAGTGCTGAGATGTCACATTTGCCTTCAAGAGACAAGATCCTAGACAAGGCAATAGGTTTATAATAGATCAAATTTTTTTAAGCACACAATGACGCACTTTAAGCTGGAACGAAAGTGAAAGATTCATCGATCCATTCACCCCTCCTTGTTACGACCAATCGCAGTGGACTTACTTTTTCCTCTCTTCCTTCCCATGTTTGCTTGTAATAACTCTCTGACCTACTTATTCACGCGCCATAACGTCTATCTTGTTGTCCTCTTGTATAACTACATGGCAGCTAAGTGTATATTTTTTCTTTTATATTGTTTTTACAGTTTTTTTGTTTTTTTTTCGTTGAGGAAGGCTTATTGCCGATACGTGGTTGTTTGATTTGTTTCGACATTTTTTCCCCAGGGTTTTCCAAACTTTGTTTCACTCATTTCCTTTTATCTTTGAACAAATAAAGGATTCTATTAAAACATAAAACGCATGGTTTTTAAATTCTTTAATTTTTACATTATTTTTTTTTTTTCAAATAAGACAACTAATCTTGTTTTACTGTTTAAAATATTGAAAAGATATGTCCCTTCATAAGTCGTATGACATGTGGCCAGGTAAATTTCACAACCCCACGTCAAAGATTCAAAGCTTCACAGATTTGGTTGTGCCAAAAGGAATTGAATGTAGGGAAGCCTCTAAAGGAGTTGACTTTGCCATACTGGCATGTACACGACAAGGCGCTAACAGTCGAGCCACTATTAACAACCAGTTGGCTCCGTTTGTCCATTACACTGGCCAGGTGCAGTGTTGCCAGAACAAGTAGGCCCTAATTCATTCATAACAAGAAATTTACTTACCGAATAGAATATTTTTTAATTGGTCTACTGAGACCTCATTACCATATTTTAATATTTATTTATTTATTTATTTATTTAGGCATTTTTATATAGCGCTTACCATAAAGCTCTAAGCGCTTTACAATTATTAAAAACATGTAAACTAATTAAAATAAAAATGAGACACTAGGATAGTAACTACTATACTTATGAAACAATGAAAATGGCTATAAAACGAGGACCATTGAACTGGTCCTACTCAGATTCTCTACAGAGTTAAACGCAAGCATGATCATAAACAAGGTTTGGTTGAATACTCATCTAGCGCTTGTATCCATGCTATTTTGGGTCACACACTTAAAACACTCTATTTTATTTAACTAAATATTATGAGCAATCAATCTTAAGGTCTGGGTCACGTAATGATGAAGAAATAGTTGACAAATAAAATATCATTGGTGAATTATTTTTTCATAAATATCATCATTTGACGGTCGACGACTAATCTCTAATTGATGCTCTTATGAAATGTATATTGTTCGCAAAAAAAAAATGGTAAAGGGCTTGTCCCTATGTACTGAAAACTAAACACATTAGTCTTGCCAGATATATATATTACAGGAATAGCAGCAACTTTGTTTGAGGTAGACAAAGCTTCTCACAGTCGTCTCAAGCTGCCCTATTCTAATAAATGAAACATCAATATGTAATGTTCGAAATGGTGCTAATACGGCAAACGGACTGAAAATGCTAAGTGATAAAATGAGATTAAGCTTCATTGCCCACCACCCCCCCCCCCCCAAAAAAAAAAAAAAGAAAAAGCACATGAAGAGCACTGTATACGTAATTCTTTCCTGAAGACACAGACACACAGCATGACACTGACGGTCATGACACAGACACCACATAACGTCTAAAGTTGTGTTGTGCCGACGAGCTCCCTGCTTCCTTATCTCGATGTATATTTGTCAAGTTTTTATCCCAACCCTTTGTTACTTAGCACGACAAAAGCCTTCTCAAACCCTCAAAATATTTGGGCAGAGCAGAGGTCAATACATGTGTGCTGGGCCCCTACTGTTAAAGCTGGGGGGTCCGCTGGATCAAGTTACCTACTCTATTACAGCAAAATGCTTTGTCGTAATCTTACTGAAGTTCATTCAGTAGTCACATTTTTATTATTGCATCTCCCTTAAGGGGCGTTCCAACTCACATTCAGGGGCGGTCTTGAAAAGTTGGAAGACGGTCAAAGAACATCAAGCTCCATTTTTTTAATCAATGTAAAATTGACAGTTAAAACTGATGTGTTAACTGTCCTTTTAGATCCTCTAGAATTAACCATGTTCTTTCTTTAACAGTATAAAAATATTCAGCGAACCATGAAATTTAATTCCCCACATCCTGGAGTGGCATTTAAAAAAAAAAAAATTCAAACCCGCGCTGACAAGATACCGACAAATAATCCCGGGGATACCCCGAACTACATGGAGAAATAAGACCACCAGGTGTGCACCATTCGAGTGGCTGACATCTTGTAAGTAAGTACTTTATGTGTATGACGTAAAAATATAATTTAAAAAATGTATAAGGCTAATCCCTTGGTCAGCTCTTAGCCATGTTATCAAAGGATGAAGGGTGTCCCGTAAGTCTAATTTCCCGTAAGTCTAGTGTTTCGTAAGTCTAGTGTCACGTAGTTTTAGTAATCGGTAATTCTAGTGTCCCGTAAATCTAGTGCAAAATGATTAGTGTGTTAAAACTTTAGGATGAAAGGAGTGAGGAAACAGAAATAAAATATTCCAATTGGAACTACGATGCAGGGCAGCTATTGTTACCGTTTCCCTCTCCATATTTAGCAGAATGTGGATTTAGTGCTGTGAATGATTTGCTGCTAAAAAAAATCGACTGGATATAACACAGTGGGGAGGCTTGAGAATGAAGTGATTTAAATTGGAGCCTTACATAAAATTTCTGTGCAGCAGGCATAAAGCGCAAGTTTTTCATTAAATTAGTCATTCCACACTGTATTTGTGATCTCTCATTGTATCTGTCATCCCACACTGTATTTGTGATCTCTCATTGTATCTGTCATCCCACACTGTTTTTGTGATCTCTCATCGTATTTGTCATCTCACACTTTATTTGTGATCTCTTATTGTATTTAAAAATAATTAAATGATGAATGATAAATTCAACTAGATGTAGCCCGCCAAACCCGACGAATGAGAAGACTTCAAAATTTTTTCATCAACAGCCAACTCACCTTTCTCCCCCCCTCCCACCCCCCTATTTTTCCCACCTATAAACCATTCCTAGGAAAATAAAAGAAGTCCAGGATTTTCCCTCGAAATGCTGCTCCTAAAATGTAAACAGACCGAGGATACAGTAACAGTGTTTGTTCTGCTTTACTGCCACCGCTACTCTTGGGCTGGATGATACGACCAAACATGTTTTCACGGCTTCGTGCATTTAAATGTGTATTCCTGTAAGGCGCACTGTCGCCATTGGTAAATGATTCATTGTACCTTGGGGGGGGGGGGGGGAATACCTCATTTTGTCTGAAGGAAATAGTGGAGCCCTGCACGCTGAAGCCTTCTTCAGCAGACAAGACACGACAAGACACAACGAGAGACAACAAGAGACAGCAAGAGACAACAAGACACAACAAGACACAACAAGACACAACGAGACTCAACCAGAGATAGAAAACTGAACAAGGCTCCCGGGTGAGACGTCCTGTTTTTGTTTTGTTTTTCTGTTGTCCTGTCTTTTCATTTCAACTTTCCGCAGACCTTGCTCCACCATTTACTTGACACAGCTTGAACCCAATCCTTCATTTATTATACAGTTTAGTCTGCCCCCGTGTGTTATTTAACATAATTTCTCAGATGTCATTTCTATGTGGTTACATTTTTTAAAAAAAAATATATAAAATTCTTTCCTATTTTTTGATACCGTAATCTATTGCGGATATATGGAACATAATAAAAGGCGAATAACTTTTTAGGGAAAACGGATACAAAAAAAAATGACGATGGTGTCGGCAAAAAGCCTGCTGTTGTCAACAAGACAAATAAAAACAAGAAGCTTAACAATTAAAATAACCTTTCGGTGATCGGCGTCAAAGGGTTTTGTGTGTCCGAGTTCTGTAGATACATGGTGTGTCCGAGCACTGTAAACATATGGTGTGTCCGAGCACTGTAAACATATGGTGTGTCCGAGATCTGTAAATATATGGTATGTTCGAGGACTGTAAACTCTTCAAAATACTTCTTTTATGGGTTTCCTCTGAGTCTTGTGTCCTGTAGGTCTTGTGTCCTGTAGCTCTAGTGTTCCGTAGGTCTTGTGTTCCGTAGGAAGGGTAGAAGGGTGTAGCGGGACGTTCAGTGTAGTGGTTGAAGAGTGCAGAGCCGTGTCGTGTGTCTTGGAACGTGTGCTGCTGTAGGGCGGCCGAGAAAATTTAAAGGGCCAAAAGTTGTGATTTGGAAACAAGTTTAATCTATCCGCTTTGAATGCAGATGGAGCCAAATTGAAAAGTGAGCGGCGCGGGGGAGGGGGGGGGGGCTCCATAAATCACGCGATGGCTCTGATTGGTTGTTGCCTTGGGCAACTAAAAAAAAATTATGATTCTATTGTGGTGTAGAGTGAGTATAAAGCATTAAGAATTTACACAACTACATTTTACAATCACCAACGACCTACCAACAGGGTTTCTTTCAGCTATATCTCCGGGGAGTGGGGGGGGGGGGGAGACTGCCCCCCGGAGCAAAAATACCAAAAAACAAATTGTCATTTTTAAAGAATTTTAAATAGAAAACTAGCTTGTGTCATTAAACTTCTATTGTGGTGTAGAGTGAGTATAAAGCATTAAGAATTTACACAACTACATTTTACAATCACCAACGACCTACCAACAGGGTTTCTTTCAGCTATATCTCCGGGGAGTGGGGGGGGGGAGACTGCCCCCCGGAGCAAAAATACCAAAAAACAAATTGTCATTTTTAAAGAATTTTAAATAGAATACTAGCTTGTGTCATTAAACTATTACAATTAGTGGAGTTTATGAAAAATCACTATGTTCGATATATTTGATAATCCGTATGGTTAAGCCTTATCTGCTTAGAAGCTTACGTTATTCGATTATAAATATCGCAATGTTTCGAAAATTTGCCGATTATCAGCCGAAGTATTATTTCCCATTCGCAATTATCTGTTTGTTATTTAATTTTTTTTTTTTTTTTTGAAAACTCATAAGTTTAAAGAATTTTTAAACACTGCATTAAACTTCATTGGCTTTACTTTTAAGGTCTATACTTTTTATAGAGTTCTCACTAAGTATCAAACATGAGTAATCTTTTCATTTTTTCAAACTATATTTTATAATAAAAGCATTGCTTTTAAGGTAAGGAATGGTGTTAATTACAAGTTTAATGATGGTGTCATGCTGTCAACAATATGGTCATTGTTAGCAATCAGTGT